TCGGACTCCCGTCGTCCCTTGGCTTTATACTGTTTTCACGATCTATACTAAGCGTAAGTACTCGATGTCGACTCCTTCTACACCTTTCTCCATACYTACCCGTACTTCTCGATTTCCTTTTTTTCTCCTTCGCCTACCCCGTTCTCTTCCATCTCCCTTCGCTTCCTTCCTACCTTCTGTCCGTTCACTCTTCACTTCTGTGCAGAGTCTCACCTTTCCCCCTCTTCTTCTCTCCCGCTCCATCTTCCGGCTATTCTTGGCTCTGTCCATCGGCCCCTTCTTCTTCCCGTTCCRCTTCCTTACACTTTTTTCCRACTTTGGACYGGAGTATCTGCCTTCTGGCCCGATCCCTYGCTACAGTCCCTCATTTAGTCTGCCCTTACGCTTCGACCTCCYCTGTCCGGTTTTCTCTCCGCCCACTCCCTGTGCGCTCTGCGATCTGATCTATCCGCTCRCTTAGGTTCATAAAAACCTTTTTTTCTTGATAYTATATCCTAGCTTTTTCTCAGGACATGTTCGAGGGCCCCCACGGTTCATTGCTCGGAAAAATGTACGATTACATCTGCGAAAAATCAAAGCCGTTTGAAAAGAAAAATGTACGATTACATCTGCGAAAAATCAAAGYCRTTTGAAARGAAAAATAMGAAAAGAAAATATTGAAAGAGCCTGCCTATACTATTCATCTACCAATTTCCTCATCTAAAGATTACTAAAAATTACRAAAAACCTTTYTTTCTTGATACTAGATCCTCTTTCCAATCAGGACATGCTCTAGGGCCTACGGTCCATCRGGCGGGRAAATAAGATCACAAAAACCACCTTTAAGATCCGGCCTAAATTATACTAGGAAAAACTCACCCTTTTCACACCGGTTTCCCTTTCACGTATATCTCAAAATTCCGGGGTATATCGCGGAGAGTTTTACTCCCCACAAACCTCCGGAAAGTTTAGCAAATCTAGCTAAAGCAGCGAGAGAGACCTCCGGGGGGTAACCCCGGAGGTGTGTTTCCCACATCATAGCTGAGAAAGATGTCAAAGTGGCGTCTTCATCCGTCGACGTCCGATGAATCCGCATCAAGGTCACACAAAGCGTTGTCTTCTTTCCGGATTTCCTTGAATACGATTGATAGTCCTACATGGAGTGAATTCTGATCCTTCCGTACTTAGTCAATTGCTCTTGATTTCTGGTTCGCGAGAAGATGTGTATCGTAATGGGTGATGGTTCAACCATCATCTTCGTTCCAAGAAATTCGAACACATTACTGCCCCTGTCCTTACGTACCAGACACAGATTTCCATCGTAACAGTTCTCAAATAGATCGAGGATACATTCCGCACTAATACCGATCTTTCCCTCTCTTCTCTACATGCCACTATCACGGTCACATCATCGACCATCCTTATTCCCTGGACCAGTCTTCGATCGGATCCCAGCGTTTCAAGAAACACAGCTTCGGACCGTGCACACACAAGGCACGCCAATGCCGGACTGGAATTCCTCCCCATCGGAATACCAAATATCTGCCTCAGGAATTCCCCGGCGCATCTTATGAATGTATTGTCCAATTCAAATTGTATGGCGCTTATCAACAGATCAAAGTCTATCAGGATGAATCCCTCGGTCCTCTTTCGGTTTCGGGCCATCATACACAGCCTCCGTCTTATGCTCACTCTTACCCCTATCATTCCCCTTTCTTTGTGAAAATCTATCACCCATCTAACAGCCTCGATTATACTGCTACGCGATAGTCTAGCAAAAATATCTTTAATGTCATAACTCCTAGCTATCGCAAAATCCCCCATTCTCCTCAACTCTCTTTGTATCAGTGCCGCCTTCATACACAACTCATCGGTACATCGCAGATCAAAGTGCTTGCTCTCTCCAATTCCTAAGAGCATGTACCTTACAGCTCTCCCCACCCTCGACCCCCCTAGTCTTGCCGGATCTTTGTTTGCAGGAGATATCGGTCTCCATCTTTCCGTATCTTTATCCTTCGGGATTACATATGCCTGTCCTACCTTCCCTCCCTTCCCCCAGCCTCCTATCTTCGTCAGTCCTCTCTCTTCATATTCTTCCTTCATCGTCTTCAAGATTCCTTCCTCGGACTCTCGAATAACGTAGAAGCTGGGGCTGTGATTGAACGTGGCTTCACACGCTTCCAGATAGAGAACCGGACATACGATCAGCGTCGCCCCGGGATTGCGATCTAACGACACAACAATAAGGTGTTCCAAACTTCGAAACCATCGCCTTACTTCCTGAACCGTCATCGCCTGATTCACACGTGCTTTGTTTTCTCTAAAACATGCTGCCACATCCATCCCGTTAACTTCGAGATCCCTACTCCTGACCCATTTTCTTACTCCTTCCTTCACACATACTCGCACTTCATCCCGGGTAGCATCTTCCCCGCAGGTCACATTCCTCGAGTTCATCACGAAGTTAGGAGTTCTGGGTATGTCGTCCAACCTCACTTTTACGTGTCCTTGATATCGGGGAAGATCTATTCCTTTACATGTACAGGTGACTGCAGATGCGCCGGCGCATACGCGCTGGTTATGGATCACCTGCCCCACTGTGAACCTTTTCCTGAACACGACTCGGATCCTTGCTGACACATATTTTGCCAGACTTGGTTCCCTTATCCTCTGCTCCAGAATCTTCGTAACCACATCTCTCACTCCTCGGGGGTTAATCCCCGTGGAAAATGGCAGTTTGATAATCGGCTTGCTTCTGATTTTCGTGCCAAACACCGCCTTAACGACCCGTGTGATCCTGATTTTCAGTAAGTTCCGCGTACTCTTCCTTTCAAATGTGTTGGCCGTTTTGAACAGAGCTATGAGCTCCGTTGGCCTCTTTCGATACAGTTGTCTAATCCTCCATGGTTGCCGCAATACATCGCGCAGTACAAACCTCCTATGAGCCATTCCTGACGAACTGATCCGGATCTTTATGACTTTGAACTTTCCCCCTTTCTCTACTTCTCCTCTGCATTCCTTCAATTCCCTTTTCTTTCCGTCTATCTCGAGTGTGCTCATCCCGATAACTGCCCTTACTAACTTCCATCTTTCTGCCCATATTTCTCCTCCTTTAGACTCGAACTCCCCTTTATCGCCCATACGTTTGAATACTTCAGTTAAAGATGTCGATCCTCCAAACGTAATAATTCACCCCTGCTTTTCTACTGCCCGTCTCTTTCCTCTCTCCCTCTTCCCTTTCCTCCTCCTCGTCCTCCTTTTCCCTTCGTTTCTCCCTCGAGTGTTCAATGCTGGAGAAAACCTACAGATCAGCGTCTTTTCCACTAACGGCGGTTCATCCCTACCGATCACAATGGGCAACAGCAGATACCTTTCCCATCCGAATACTTTGAGCCATGCATGCAATTTTGGAGCGTTCCCTAGGTTCCCGGTAACTGCTAGTCTCACATGCTCGGTCCAACGTAAGATGAAGCTTCTCGTTGTGCAGCCAATGTATGTGTGCCTGCACCATGGACTGACTAACACGTATACTCCCGCACCCTTCGTTCTTAGGTCTTTCGTTTCCCCACTCAGCATCCCGATCCACTTCCTAGCCCACGGGCAACCTCCTCTAAGTACGATAAGAACAAACCTCCTTACGATCTCATCTTCGACTTTTGTATCCAGTATCCCGCTGAGCGGAGCCTGTCTCCCTCTCTCCTTCATTATCCACATCAATTGTCCCAGCCCTCCCATATCGTAAGTATTTCACCTTACCTCCGAGATAGCGGTGAGACGTGATCCGAGACGCTCCCTTCTCCAAAAATCAATTTCGCCCTGCACCGTACGATTTCACTCACCGCAGCATCCTTCCTGGTCCATTCAATTCCTTCCTCATTGCATATTTTGCGTAGTTCAGGAGCTTTCTTTGCTGAAAGCTTCTTGTGCATCTCTAAGACGAATTCCAGCATCCCTCCATTCACTCCATCCCCAGCATGGGTCTCTTTATGCGGTGTGTGCATCTCTTCCTGAATCTCTTCAATGACCGGCGTGGCTTTCGTCGCTCCCACCCGAGTTGTCGACATGGCCTTCTCTTCCCCTTCTCTCCGCTTACCCTTCCTCCTTTCTATTGCATCAACAAGCCTTCCTGCTTCGTGTCTCACTTCTTCGCTCTCATCTTCAGACTCATCAATATAACTACATATTTCCCTCAGCATCCGGGCCTTCGTCCTAGGTGATTTCTTCTTTATCACCGGCGTGGTCGTGCTGTGCACAGTTTTCGAGTGTTGGCTAACCAGTCTCACTAGTCTTGCTTCCAGCCGTGCTTCTCGTGCTTCCGCTTCTCTTAATCTATCTGCTTCCTTCTTCTCATCTGCTATCTTCCTCTTCTGTTCTTCCCTTTCCTTTTCGACTCTCTCGTCCTCCATCTTCTGTCTTTGCATCTTCTTACGAAAGTACATCTTCATCTCGCTAAGTTCCTCATCGCCAGCGCCTGACTGCTGTCCCTGTTGGTTCGGTACCGGCGGTCTTCCATTGCCCGCGGCCCAGCAGTTCCGGGCGTAATGCCCATTCTTCCCATAGAGATAACACGTTACAGTGCTGGGTGGTATGGCAGGTGGATTAACCCCCGACACCACACCCTGTGTTATTCCTGCATATACTGGTACTTGCGTTTGATGAAGAAACTGCTGGGGGTTCGCCATCTCACCTGCTACGTCTACCCTGTCTCCTTCTCCTATACCTTTGATTTCTAATTAAGCACCCCACACTATGTACCCTACCCAGCACTGCCTCCAGATATCCGATCGCTTCCTCTTTATCTGCTTGACTACCAAAATGAAAAGCTACAAAGATAGCCGGAGTAAGAGTATACTCGATAAGTCTCTGTAGTTCAATCCACTGACGTTCTAACTCGATATCCCTAAAATTCCTTGTCGACATCACACTCACCACTAATTGAGTAGTTACACGTGACGGTTAGCCTTAGGACAATCATTCGTTCGTTAGTAAGCTTCTTACCCCAGGTATCGTGAGAACACACCAACCCACCTATCACTGAATCGATCAAGCAACCCCACATTACTAATCTCCTCGTTCCTTTTGTAAACATACCCGCTATCTCCCTTCAAGACGATCACACTCGAAGCCGTAAGATAGCACGGTATCCGGTTACCGAATTTTCAATGCTCAAAAATACTTCAGAAATACTTCAGAGCCTTCATAGCCACCGCTCCAGTGTCAGCACACTCTGGTTACCACGCTTCACGAGATACAAGTACAAGGAGATAGTTGCCCAGTGAGGAAGTTTCCATAAAAACAAGCTTCGTGAACATCGCTGCAGGAGATACACCACTTCCCTCTCAAAAACTTCTCCCTCTCAAAACATCCCCCACAACTAATGTACATTCCCAGCGCCCGTTCCTCGACGCGTTTCGTTGCTGGCGCAACAGCAACTCATCAGGAGGTTCTACTCACAAGGTAAGTACTGCTCACTGCTCGGACTCCCGTCGTCCCTTGGCTTTATACTGTTTTCACGATCTATACTAAGCGTAAGTACTCGATGTCGACTCCTTCTACACCTTTCTCCATAC